GTGCTTTGAACACCTCTGTTCAAGAGGTACTATCATTTTTTGTGTATGTAATAGCGAGAAAACTGACAGATTATACAATCATGTCAAAATTGACTAGATTATGTTAACAGGGCTATTACTTTGTTGTTTTGACCTCCTTACAAACTGTGGGTATTTCCTGAAGATGAGTAAATCGAAAACATACCTGAAATCATGGAGGAACTGAAATCTACCAGACTGAATTGAACTTTAGAGGCATTAAGAACTAATAATTGTAATGAATTGTAAATAGTACTTTTCCAGAGATTCGTTACGTCTTTTTTTTAATGTGTAAATATACAATTTGGACTGGGCTTTAATCCTTTCCTTTGTGGAAAGGGGACATGTGTCCTGCAGCCTGTCCATGGTGGGGGGGGGGTTCTTGTGGGGGGGGTGGGGGGTGTTGTGGGGGTTGTTTTTCACAGCACCGCCAGCCTGGGCTCCGGCTCCGGCTCCCGCTTTCAGCCTTAGGACCCACTTGCCTTTATCATGGAGTCACATCCTTTAGGACAGAATCCTTTCAAATCAGTCGATTTGTGAAAACTGCATAACTGTGTGCTTTAGATAGCTGGGCACCAGCTGATCACTTCCTCGCTGAAATCTGTGTCTGGATGTACAATCCTAGTTCTGACTTTCACAATGTAAATATGTCTACTGTCTTTTTTTTAAACTTGTATTTATGTTGACCGCAGAATCAATCCTTTTGGATTGGTGGTATATACCAATGCACTTCATACAGTAATTGTGAAGTGCGTTGAAATATGGTGACTTCTTATAAGTCCAAATTTAATAAAGTTCTAAGACATTTTTACTCGTGAGTTTTTCCCCCTTTCTTCTACATTTTGATTGTAAGTTTATTTTTCTATTCCTAGATGGTCACTATTTGGGAAACATGGAAAATCGTAATGAATTTCCAAACAATGAGGGGTGTTGTAATTAAACTTTATCGACAGTTACACATTGATAAAAATATATATGGTGCACAGGAGAATTCTTAAAGCAATACATCATGAAACATAAAGTATGATACGTTAATAAGAGAAACTAATGGTGTCGGGCATTTAACTAGTGGGATTTTAGTGATCACACACAAATTGTAGCCATTTCCCTCTACTGTAAGTCGCTTTGGATAAAAGCATCCTATAAATGAGTTAAATGTAATATGTAGTGAGATCCCCTACTGGACACACACAGAATGTAGGGGGGTGGGGGGGGTTAGTGCTACACAAGCAGGACTGAGTAAATGCTGAGAAAAGCTGTAGGTGAGCCCACTTGGTCCCTGGGGAAAAGGTCAAGGTAAGACAGCATGATTTAAACCTACTGGAAAGGGGCTCATGATTGGCCAATGGCAGGCTTATGATAGGCCGATGGCAGGACCGCTTTCAGTGACAGGAAATAATAAAGCCACAGTAAAGCTGTACACTACCAAAAAGAGGCCATGTAGGCTTCACCCTTGCTACTCCCCATGTATGAAAGGTACTGCTTGAATGTTCCTGGTGAACACTGACCGAGGTCGGCTAAATGAGAGAGTTCACCATACTAACCTGCTAGATCTGTCGTGCCAGCAGATGGTGCTGTAGGCAAGTTTGAAAAAGCTAACCATGCAGATTTTGTTGGGTCTAGTCACCATGTGATTTAAAATTGCAACACAACATGAACTCCCAGGGCACTGGCTTTGCAGTTGTGGTTTACTGGATTATTTCCTTGTATCACCAGCTCATATATCTGGATTGCTGGGAAAAACTCTGGAATTGGGATGTTTCCTATAGCACTAACATCCATTCCGGAAACCTACTTCAAGGTTATGGATTCAGAGGTTTATTGTTCTGGGAAATTTATTAAAAACAACACAACAAACCTGTAACTTTATAGTGCACAGATTATCTAATCTATCCATCCTACTATGAGTTCAATTTTCCACTTCTCAGGATTACAGTGGCAGCAGGCTTTGCCAAACCTCCCCACCAATATTTTCCAGCTGTCTTAGGTGTAATCAGGTGCTTGCAGGCCGGTTGCAATACATAATCCCTTCAGTGTGCCATGAGATCAGCAGGGAGGGGCTAGTCCAGTCCAAGGTTCTCCTAGGTCTCTGAATTCCTCATGTTATCATGGACAGCTGACTTAGCAATCCTACAAAGAACCTCATTTCTGCTGCTTGGATCAAGGGCCTTGTTTGGAACAGCTCCAATACAACGTGACCAGGAGGCGTCTTTTCTAGAATAATCTTTGCACGAATAATCTCAAACGGCACAAAGTGATCTGATAGTGGGTGACAGTAGCTTTTTGGTGGTGGGTGCATAAAATCTTATGCCTGCACTTTCTGTCCACTAGTAATGATCTGTTTGAGGTAGTATTAATGCCAGTAATATTTGTAATTCTAATTATCCATAAACATTATAAAGTACCACTGCCAAAAACAGACAAATATCAGCCAGCCTCTTTTTATTTATTTTTATCAGTATTGCTGTCAGCAAGAGATTTCATTTTGATAAACATCCTGCCCTGTTGAACATTGTTGTAATGTGTCCAGATAAGTCCCATGATTCCTGGCAGGACAGCTGTGTAATTAACACTTTGTTTATAATGTCATACCTTCAGGAGGAGCTGGGTGCTGAGACAGGGAAGGACATTTGACACCTCCATGTGAGCAGCTGTAGAGGAGTAGGAACCAATATATAAAATTAATAACTCCGCTCAGCTAGCTCCATAGCCTTTTTGATAACCATTCAGGATTGACCTTGCTGCATGCAAGCCAGCTGAAGGACACTTTACCTCAGAGGTATTTTTAAAAGGGGAATTGCCCAACCGTCAGAACAGGATATCAATGTGGTTTGCTTAACCACTTATCCTGACACAGTCTCACATGATCATAACAGTGGGAAACTAACCCATAAGCAGAGGTGGACATTTCAGGTCCAGAAAGTAAAAATCCAAACCAGGATTTCATGTCAACCAACCAGTTGAGTACTCTGTGACTGTGACTCTTTATGCTCAACTGGTTGGTTGAAATGAAATCCTGGTTTGGATTTTTACTTTCTGGACCTGAAATGTCCACCTCTGCCCATAAGCCTGGAGGTGTGACATATGCAACCCTCCAGCATCTTATGCCCTCTGTACTAAGACCGGCTTTGTGGAAAATATGACACAACGCCAGGATTTGGGGTTCGAATCCTGCCTTGGCTGTGTGTGTGGCGTTTGCATGTTCTCCCTCAATTTTACAGGTTTCCTCCCACAGAAGACATGCAGCTATAGGCTCATTGGTGTCTCTAAATGGCCTTTAGGGTATGATTGTGTGTGTGTCTCATACAAGACCGGGAGTCCGACCCAGGGTGCACCCAGACTTGTACCTTGTGCTGCCTAGGATAGGATACAGGAGACCCAGACCGGAATTCCGACCCAGGGTGCTGCCTAGGATAGACTACAGGAGACCCAGACCGGGAGTCCGACCCAGGGTGCACCCAGACTTGTACCTTGTGCTGCCTAGGATAGGCTACAGGAGACCCAGACTGGAATTCCGACCCAGGGTGCTGCCTAGGATAGACTACAGGAGACCCAGACCGGGATAAGTAGTTAGAACATGGATGGATGTAGACAAATCACCCTGATGTATTATATTGCTCAGTAGCCTGTTGCTAGCCTTTTACTTACTACCAGTGGCAAATCACTGTGGATGTGACTCTTCACTGTTTCCAGACTGAACTGAGTGCTCACATGCCAGATTTTCTTGGTCACAGAGATCCCTGTCAAAATAATAATATGATATCCCTTGTTTATTGCAGATCTTATTCATTACCCACTAAAGAAAAATGAATAAATTGAATGAAAAATAAATAATAATATTTTAAAGATACTAAAATAAACAGCTGCTGAACTACACTCTGTTTCCTTATACATATTCCCCACTCATGTGTTTTCATTAAACCCCTTATGCATAGCAGTGCTCAGTAATTTAGTTTGATTAATTTATCAGACGTGTATTTTGTAACATGATGCATCGGGTGCGTGTTGCGCATTAATTATTATGACACTATCACCTCTCCAATGCAAATGCAAATCTCAGGTGGCCCAGTCCCAACATCACAGCATGGATAATATGTGTGAAGAAACTTTAAAAAGTAAACTGCAAATTTTCGGCCAGCATCGGTTTATACTATTTCTTTACTTATTACTTTTCCTAAAAATCACATCTCCAATTTAGGTTAGGTTAAATATTCACTCAAAAGTCAGAGTAAATACGGCTGATCTGTGATCCTCATCCACTGTAACTGAGGTAAGGAACAGCTGCTGATTGCGGCATGTTATCGCACAATGAACCACTTTGAGAACCAGAGGGCAGCCATGTGATACCTCAGCACCACACATGTTCAAATGGAATAGAACAGTATGAGGTTTTATCTGGTAGCTGGAGTGCCAATCCTGCCACCAACCTCCAAATTTTCCCTGTAAGTTGGAGGACCTGCTTGCAGGGCTGGATGTAGATTAACATCATACCCAGGACAAAGCAATTGCAGGTTAAGGACATTGCTAAAGGGCCCAAGAGAGTAGAATCACTGCTGGCATCCACAGGATTTGAACCAACAACATTCCAATTGGAAGCACCAATCCCTAGCCTCACAGCCACCACTCCACCTAAAATGTAATTTGTAACTGTAATTGGAGTGGATAAAAATTACGTTTTTATACTTGTGTTATTCAGCGTGTAATTAAAATCTATCTATCTGTCTTGCAATATATTAAAATGAAAAACCATTCATCCGACAAACACGCACAGTCTTGTCATTTCAGCAGTTCACTCCCTTCACGTGCTTTCAATGTTGTTTGACACCATGACGTTTACTGAGACACGCCTCTGAAGCTCGAGCCTCAGACGGCGCTATAACGGGGAGATGCTCATCTTCGATTGGGTGTTTATCAGCACATGACTCAATGTGCAAACTCTGATTGGCTTCCACTGCGCAATTACGTCTCCGAAAGCTGTCCAAGCCACCTTGTGGCATCTTCTAATGCCAATGGGTGTATTTGGTTTGGAAGTACATCCTGACATATAACGCCTAGGTGCATTACAGAGGGTGATGTTATTGTTTTTACGAAGCTGATGAAAATATGCATAATTATGTTTATTAAAAGGAGCGTGATAAGCGCTTGAACACTGCGGTTATTTGATTGGCCGACCGAGCTGTCAGTCGTCTTTAATGGAATCGGCACATTGTCGCTCCTGCCTTATTTCTACGCAGGTACGGAGAACGGGTGGGCTTGTCTGTATTTGCAGATAGAGTGTCGCCAAGACGGGCTTGCACAACCCAGGAAAGCATACGGTAGTTTTATCTGAGAGGGAGACGGGTTACAGACAAAAAGCAGTCATCGCAGTCATGAAACCATAAACCAGGTCGCAAGCCAGCGAGCATCGGACTGCAGGAACTCCGCTTTCATTACAGGTCTGCTGTCTGTTTATCTCCCGGATTAAATCTCCAGCATCCCTGAATCCCACGACACATCGAATACCTGAAGTTAAATTAAAGGATAAGAATTGCAACCGCTGGAGGGAGGAGGGGCGGCCAGCCTAATGATGAACAGGTTCCGAAAGTGGCTTTACAAGCCCAAGGTAAGTTTGATATTTGATTCCGTTTTGCTAATTCTGAGACATCGTGCGTGTGTTATTACGATGCCTCCCACCTTATTTAACGCGCAGTGATCATGAAGATAAAGTTGCCCCTTTGTGCTTCTGCCTGCCATACGGATGGCATTGCTGGTACACTGAGGTTTAATGAGTGGAAATACACGCCGATCTGTCACAAAGTAACAAAGGGCATCGGCCGTAATGAGCTGCCGTGATTTTTCCTTTTTATGTTTTATTTCTGCGGCTCCTGTCATCGGGACTATTGAATCCAAAATTTGCTGTAGTTTTCGGCAAGTGGCCATGATAAAAAAATCACTTTGACAGCTTAAAAACAGCACTTTATAAAGACTAAATTGGGCGTCTTTGTTTTGCCATGTCAGGACAACGGCTTGGCTTTGCTCTGATTGTGTTTTATTGGCGGATATTGTAAATGAAAGTACAGTGTCTTTCACGGTTTCCCTTATACGTAAAGCCGAGTTAAATGCTCAACCCCAGCAGGGTGCTGCTAATCGCTTTAAGCATCAATAATTAAAATGGCCGTTAATTTAACGCTATTTAGTAGATAAAGCCATTAAGCGTTGTTTTGAAATCGTCAGCTGGCGTGCTGTGAATAAAAAGTGAAGTGTGTGACAATATTTGGATTATGGACATCGTCATTGCAGACATGCAGAGCAATCTCAGCCACCCTGAATACAAGATGGGTTATAACTGTACAGGGAAAACCTGTCTTATTTGAATGCAGGATGTCTTACGAGAAACTTATTTGCTTAGAATAAGACATGAATAATTTCCTATAGGTCTGTGTGAATTGCAGATTTACTTTGTAATATATTTAATTGATATCCTTATAAAAGAACACTCATGTCCATTTTTCTCTGAGCACAGGGAGGCACGTTGGATAAACTCCGGTTTCCTCACTCTCTTGTGTGACATGTGTCTTTTAAACTACTCCTTTAGACAAAGAGACTCACTCAAAAGAACAACTGACTGCTAAATGGCAAAATGAACCTGGCCTTTTGACAGTAAANACACTCTTGGTACTAAGTAAAGCTCCAGTCTAAGTCTGTCCTTTTTTGCATCCTATTTGTGTTTATGCGAATGTGTGAACCAAAGACAATGACAGTTCGGGGATGGTTTGATACCTCGCTATGTTATTGCATAGCATGCACAAAAACATCACTGGCTTCTGTATCAATGGAGTTAACAGGTATTTTACTGTATTGCACTTTTTTGTAAGCTTTGATCAATCATACTGTATGAAATTAAGCTCTTTCCTGACTAGGAATCAAATTGGTTTGACTTAAATTTTATCTGGGCAGTTTTGTAGCTAGGCTTGTGACTATACAGACAGAAATTATTTGGTAAGGCTGTCTAATAAGAGATAAGTGGATAATTTCAAGTTAAATCATGTAAAAAAAAAAATTGTATTTAAGCAGCTCTGCACTGTGATGTTTGGCTTTCTTTGATTTGCTGGAAGTTTAAGTATGACAGTAGTGAAAGTCCATAGAGCGGGTAATGATGCCAAGAGATGCAGGTCTTTACTTTTCTTGTTCTACTCAAATTGTGGGATAGATGTAAGCATTCGAGAAGATCTGGATTACTGTCATGCTTAAACAACAGGGTGATGAGCTGGAGATGATGTGGAGGAAAACTGATCTTTAAGTATGGATGAAGCGATTTAATTCAGATAAAACAAAAATGAATCTAATCCAGACTTCCTCAGTGCAGCGGACCTGCTGAGGTCAGCACAGGCCAATGGGATGTACTAACCAATGAGGATCCATCCCCATGACGAATCTCCTGACATGCTCTTTCCATGCACGTCTCGCTCACCTTCTGACTGCAGTAATGGTTTTCGTTTGAATCATTTTCTGTTTTTCAATTCAGTCTCCATGAATGCTTCTCTCTTTCTCCCTTCCATTAGGAGTCGCCCCCTTACCTGTTTGTCTTAATTACTTATGCTGCTTTCTCATTTGACTGTGCTCACTTATAGATCACAAATTACATATTGATGTTTATATCGGCTGTGTGTGTGTGTAAGTAAATGTGTGTGTGTGTGTGTGTGTGTGTGTGTCATGTATATAATATATAATTTAATGTCATGTTCCATATTTTGAATAAACACTGAGTATCTAATAGCCCTGGTCAGGCAGCTCACAGGAGCACCCCTACTTTTACATATTTTTTATCTGAATGTTATTTTTCACTGTTCAGTTTTGTGGCTTGAATGTGACCCTGTTCTGATGGACAGTGATGGACTCCTTACCTCACCTCTGTAATCAAGTTCGACCTCCTGCACGGTTTTTGTGCCCTTTGCATTGCTATATTTATGCTGTGACGTAGGGGAATTCTGTTCATTTCCAGCTGAACTATATTTGAGTTGATTCTAGGCCGGCATGATGTGCGATTCAGTATCGTCACCACATCACAAGGACCGCGATAGTCGCCTGGGTTGAGATTAAGCTTGGACAGCATCTGATTTTTCATACTGTCTCGACATTATACCACAGTATACAATATTTTGACTCTATTTTCAAAAGCAACACTATTCTGGTATTTTTAAATCCTGTTGATAAAATTCACCGAGCTGAGAGGTCCCCACGATAAGATTTTCCAAACAGAAATCATCGGTAAATGTGGCTAAAACATTTTTACTCTCACTGAATGTTTTGATTTTTATCTATTAATTTTAGGAACCAACACTGAGCAAGATTTTTCAATTTTAATGGTTATTCCTTTTTATGATTTGTGTAGTACAATTTAAATTTTTTTTGGTAAATTTTCTACTCCTTTTTTTTTTTTTTATCCCCCAAAAAAATCACACTTCAATATTTGAATTTTTTCCAACATTGTGCAGTTCAATATCATTTCTTCTTTTTCTTACTGATCCTTTTAAATGCAGAGATGATTATTTTAAAGTAATAGTATTAACTGCAGTCAGTTTGTGATGTTCATCGAGGGAAGACGGGGGATGAAACATCTCAAAGAAGCCAGTTTAATGGGGATTTTAAAAACAAAAAACCTTCTGGCTGCAGGTCACTGGCTTTTGATGACTGTTGCCATGGCTTGAGTTAAGAGGGTTGGGGGATTTGGGAGCTGGGTAGCCATGAAACCAGTCCTCATGCATGATTGTGGCTCTGTGGGAGGCAGAGTACTTGCCTGCCCCTTATAATGAAGAAGAGAGCAATTCACTCCCAGCCGATCTGGCCAGCGGGAGAAATATTAGAGCATTTCTGAATGGGCCGAGGCCACAGGCAATCAGGGGTTAATATTCCCATGCAGTGGATTATCACCCAAATACAGGGCATGTTAATCTCCCTCATGCCCGTTAGCAGGACGCTAACAGCATGAGGCTCCCCCTGGAGCATCCGTCCTTGGCCCCACCCTGTGCCGGCCGTCAAGCTCAGCCCCCGCCCCGTTAGCTTGTCTCGTTCCTGCTGTCACTTACCCATCATCCCATCCCCAATCCGAGGCCAAATTCCATGCGTGTGAAAGCTCTGTGGGAAAGTTGGGCATGTCCGTTGTTTTATTCTCAGCTTTGCCTCTCTATCCATTTTTGTTCTGATATTCCGATTGATCCGCCTGCGGTTCCAGGGCCTGACGCCTCGCTGTTTCCAGTCATTTCTCTCGAGCGAGGACTGAGAACAGTGAGCTGAAAGTGAGAAGTGGAGTGTCTTAAGTGGGAGTGCCTTCAGGCAGATGCGCTGTGGACAGTAGGATGGTGGTCAATATCTGACGCACGCCAGCTGGCCACTGGAGGGCGCCACGCTGCCCTGCATTGGGTTGCCAGACTTTGCTAATGGGCTCCCAAGGCCTCAATTTTGGTGCTGCCTCTCTTCCCACCTTTGGATATTAGTGCTTGTCCCCGAGAAAAGAGTTGGAGGTTGTGAACACAACAGGACGGGGGGCAGAGTTCAAAGCAACTTGGGCAGGGTGGGACGACCTTCCAGTCTCTCTCTCTAGAGTGAGTCTTGCCATCTTGTATCAACATATGTTTTTGACCGGCCCGGCCATGTGCGCGTCCACTGCCTGCCAACTACAGCCCAGTGCCGCTTGAAGCCCATGTGGTGCCTCCTCGTCATACTTTAGGGTGTGGTGCTGACTCTTTGCTTGGTCGGCATCCCCTTGGAAGATGGCGCCTTGCATGACCTCCTATGTCGCCTGTAGGGTTGACCAGCTCTGCTGCCACCAGTATGAGTGTGTCGACGCCTTTAACGCGTAACCACCCCCCCACCAAGACAGCCTGAGGGCGACTCCTTCCTAGTTGTTTGCATTTCCAGCTTCCCTCTTCCTTCACGTGCTGTATCAGGCCACCGTAGTTAATGCTTAACAGCCCATCTTCTGTATAACGGTCATTAAACAGACACCGAGTGGCCGAGCTGCACTGTTATGACTGAGAGACGCTTTTCCTTCTGTCCTGGTTATTGCATGGAACTGCACACAGATCAACAAATCTGCTAACAAATCAAATCAGTTTGCTCTTTAATGGTAGCAAGGTGCCTGGACATGTCATTGCTTGGAGAAGCCTGTGTCTGATAACCGAATACTTACTTCCCATGTTGGGATGAGTAATTCTTGCTACTTGACACCACTTTGGTGAGTGCAGAGTTCAGCTGAATGGCATGTGCTCTGACCGCCGCAGCAGCGGCCTTTGTCTCATATCAGCTGAGGTTATTTTCAACAGTGCAGGATAGTCATGGTGATGGAGACCCTGACTAAAGTGTGCTGGTTAACTGAAGTTGACCTTGACAGCTCGTGTTCCCGTGACTCCTAAATTTTTTACACATCCTAGGTGGTGCAGCCATGACAAGGATGAGGATTGCTGTTTGGGGGGCGGGACGGGCGGAAGGAGGAGTGAAATAGGCAGAAATAGAGGATTATGGGAGGTGGAATTGAGCTCTCACTCCGATTGGAACTCTGCCAGCACGGACCAAGCCGCCCCCTCGTTCGTAATCTGCTGCAGGGGCGACGAAGCGGCCTTGCGG